AAACTTTTCAATGACTTTACATTCGCTAGGATTGCACAACGTATTTTACTAAAAAAACTACAGAGTGTTCTAATTTTCAAATTTCCCGACGTTTAAAAAAGACATCACGACCACTAAGTAATTTTATTATTTGTCTCCGACAGCCAGTATCTTCGTTATATTTAATTGCTAAAAGAAAATTGTACGTTGGAAAAAGCAATTTATTTTCTTTAATATCATAATCTCATCTGAGTTGGTATTCATCTGTCTTGCCGGCAAAAAGTAAATAGCTGCAGCATCCGCTTATGTCGCCATAATCACACATTTTCTAAGACATTAAAACTGTAATTCTATTTAATTGCAAACGCATTACTTTTTTGTAGAAATAAATCTGTATAATAAGATTTATATAAACGTGCGAAAAGCAAAAAATATAGCATAGAAACTTTTGCAAAATTAGTATGCGGTAAAACCACTGTCATATTGTAAAATGTTAAAAAACAAGAAAATTCAACTTAATAAATTCCGACTAATTCAAGTCGAAACATCCTGTATATTCCGAATATAAAGTTAAGCCTTATTCCGGTGTATTCAAATGTTTACGCACGTTTGAGCTTGTCACTTGTTTTGTTGGGACAATTTCCCTTTTATATCTGCATTTATAAAAAGAATCCTTTGTATAATATGATAATGTTTTATTGCTTTTTATCGTCTACCGCCTCGTGAGGTATTTTCGAGTTGAGAATTGTTTTTTTGCCAAAAATAACCTAAATTACCTTTTGACATACTTTGGTTTTGTCGTTTTTAAAAGCGCTGATCGAACGGAAGAAATAAAAATCGGTATGTTTTAACAGGCTTGGCAAAGTGAGGCCTAGCGTTGTCATGCAGTAAAATAACTATTTCGTGCCTTTGTTCTTATTCTTTGATCGGCTCAATCGCATCAATTGAGTTCGATATCGTTCCCCAGTGATGGTTTCGCTGGGTTTGTAGAGCTCATAATAAATAACACGGACCTGGTCCTGGAAGAAGAAGAAGAAGAAGAAGAAGATCCATCCATCCATCCATATTTCATCTTAACATTCGCATTTATAAATTTAGTAAGATAAGAAGTAAGATTAAGTTCCGTGTGAGAAAAAATGTGATACGTAGATAGATATAAGGTAGTTTTTGAATAATTGTCGATATAAAAACACTATATAAAAGGTAGGCAACATATTGCCGGTTTAATTGAACGGACTTCCTTCACTTCTTTTGATATTTAAGGGAATGACAGCTGCTGTGTTAAATGAATTCAAATGTTGAAAGACCACCCGCATACAACCTGTAAAAACCGTGAGAGTGTCCATAATAACTCACTAGATGGAGTTAGCAACCATTGGTAACGACTTAAAGCATAAAAAAAAATAACTTCAGAAAACCTGGAAAAATGGAATAAATTATTTAAAACTGAGACTATTTTTTAAACTGTGCAACATCAGGTTTAGCAGAAAACATTTCTACATCACGCAAAAATCTAAAACTGTACTTCTCCGAAGTTTCAACGCAAACATGTTTTCAAAGAAGTTTGAAACTAAATAAAAAAAGACTTGTTGCGATATCGATCTTACTAAAGTCTTGATAAAGCGAAGTTTGAAATCATATGGAAGAGTTCTTTATAAAAATAACATTTTCGTTAATTGTTCTTTGATAACTTTAAACAGATTTTTAATCCTTCTAGAGGAATCCTTCCTTCTATACATCACAATCGCTGAGCGCAGTCGCATGGAATACTATCAAATCCTTCGCTCTCAACGACAATTAGCCATTTGTAAATCAGCTCTGAATCAGTTCAAAAGTTCAGCTCACATTAATTTGAACCGTTGAGTTGCGGTTCAACTTGATTGGTAGCTCACAGCTCAAATGAGAGTCGACGAGCCACTAACTGTCTGATGGCTAGTTGTTCGTGACTCGAAACGTAAATCATAACTCAATGCATGTACTGAGCTAAGCTGTGAACCGGTTCACTGATCTGTTTCATACTTGGGCGCCGTAAGCTGATCTGATTAACAGTTTTTCCAGTTGACTCTAACGACAATAGTTCAGTGACAATCTATTCAAAATATTTCGTATCGTATTCTTATGTAAGTAGGTCATTTCACCATAAATTAAAATCAATCGTGTTAATTGATTATATCCGGTACAACATATGGCTAGTAATATTGACAGGGCCACTTTCTTCACATGCTACTTTCTAAGTCGTCAGATTAGCTGCTATGCCGTATTGGGAACATTTACGATGTGCCTTGATTATCACGTTCTAACCATAAGCCAGGGGTATGCATATTCAAAACCTCATTTTATTTATTGTGAGTGGATATTAGCAATATTTTACGAATCATTTTCTTTAACATTTTTAATTTCAAACTATTCAAAAACACGAGTAACAAATAAATAGTAAAATAAAAAATAGACATACAATCTCTTCTAACAAACCACGTGGCCGTGAATACGCAAATGCACGAAACGATAAAATGTGTCAAGATCAAAAATACACATAAAAACGCAGAGGAAAATAGTACAGAGATACTAGGAAATAACTCAAATTATAAATGTCTTGTGCAAACACGCCAAAGACCTTGTTATGCGACTATTAATAATATTTTTATTAGCGTTTACTCCACTGGCCTAGCTAAAGTGAGGCAACGTAATCAATTATTTTCATAGACCGTACGTGATTGTTAAATTGTCTTACGCAACGTGCGATTTCCATGACTTTCGTGTGCGCATTCCAAACGCTTATAAATTTAGCGTAAACAATAGCCTCTTCCTCGTGAAATATTTAAACTTATATCAAATTAACATGCATACAATGTTTGCGATTTTAAGGTTGATACAAGGTAAAATAAAGCATTAAAGTTGTTTATTCAAGTTCAAATTTTGATATGCCATTAACATGTTAACTAAACTTAACATGTTAATGGCATATCATAAAATTACTATCTTTCGCCCGCGACTCCATCGTAATATCGTATCCAGCGTAATGTTAAAAAAACACAATGATTACCATAGGGTAATCATTGTGTTTTTTTAACATTTTTAACACATAGGTGTTCTTCAAGGCACTACATCTATGTCAAATTTCAATGAGATTCATGCAGCTGTTCTGAAGATAACTTCTAACTAACATCCACTCGTCCATCCGCATTTGAGCAGTTTAGTAAGATTAGACTGAGGTTGCATTTGTGAGAGATAGAGATATAAAAAGAGTTAAAATATATCGGAACTATTTTAAACCAAGAGAAACATAAAATAATACAGACAACACACATTAATATTGCATATGAATTGCAGACCTTGGTGATTACTGTGCAATTCTATGAATCCTGACACTAGACATGTTGATGTCACAGATGCAGCTAAGTTTTATACATAATTAATTTAAACTATTTGTAAGAAGTTGTAATAGCATTGTCTATGGTCAAACTTTGCTAACTAAAGTATATAAACAAAGAAAATTTTTGACACAAAAGTAAGATGCAGTGTACTCCGGGTTGCCCCAGAGAGGACTTATACTGTTCAGATAAGTCAAGGGTGGTATTAAAAGCACCTGAATTCCAACATACATGTACATGGAAAATCTAAAAGAAGTCTGCCAAGTCCACACCTAAGTTTGTGGTTTCTGCCTATCCTTCTATAGGCTTAAGTGGTGATATAATTTTTTAATTTAAGTCTAAAGTTAACTAACTAGCACCATCACACACTAACTTAGACTAGACTCAGCTGAAGCAGTAAATATTTTAGTCAAAATACTAAACAATCCAGTTCTAAATAAAGTCTAGTCTAGTGTATACTGTCTAGTAGTATATATAAATGCGTAATAATGGAATAAGGTACCAATATCCACTATCAGAAGCATTCCAACTCGATAAATATATTTTAACACCACAATAAAGGTAATATTAATCATGTGATAATGAAGAAATATATTATTTGACTACATGAGTTATTATATTTGAATAAAATAGAAAACAAACAATAATATTCGATGTATAAATGGATAACTAATAATATGACATCCATATCCAACCTAAAAAGATAAAAACCTATCACTTCCTTTTAAAAACTTTTTATCTTCTCTTGGAATAACAAATAAAACTGTTGAACATGTTTATTTATGTAACATAATGTTTGTATAGTCTAGGGATAGTGTCCGGTGGCACAATATTTTGGGCAAATCAATGAGTTTATGAACTAAGAAAAAATAATTAAAGGGGAAACTGAGGAGTAAACTCAAGTGATTCCACTATGTTATGGAATGTTCCCAATAATCACAAGGTCAAAGTTTTTTGATGGTATGTAAATGACCTCATTAAATATTTCTTAATGTTGATACATAAAGGTTTAACATCCCTGGTATTTTTTATTATGGCTGGTTTACATTATGCCAATAAAGTTGGGATAGCAGCTAATTCAACACTTACATACAACTGGCATAATATAAACACTAACTGGGGCCAGTGAGCCCAGTGCTACTGTCCTACTTTACTGGCATAATATAAACCAAACATTACTCTTTACTGTCAATACTAAATAACCTAATTCTGAACAAATCTCATTAATAATTGAGATATGCAAAATCAAATCTCATGAGTCATCTCAATTTTTTGTTTCTTAACTTGGCGTTAATATGCAAAAACGTTAAAAAGCCTTTGATGCTTATATAGTTCATTCCAACCAACAATCATTCTTTAAAATTATCGCTATTGGAAAGTTTTACCAAAATTAATTAGTACTTTGTACAATACCTACCATTTTGTATCGTAAAACAATAAACGTATAAATCATAATCAAATATCAATACATTCTTTCACCGACAAGCTTTAAACGGTTGATAAAGAAAATGTTCGGTATCATTCCTACAAAACTCACTCGTTTATGTCGTTGGAAACGGCAGTGTCGATATGACGTCAGATAGTTTACTATTTAATGAACGCTCTTAAAAATTATACGTAGAAATAGACAAATAATATTGAAAAACTTACCCATCGCCTACAACTACACACTTGATTGCTTGCATTTTGAGTTTTGTGTGGCCGTTGTCACTAATAGAACACGAAAATCACCAGGCTTTAAAACCAATCTGAATCGGCAAGCACTGCACTTGCAATCACGTCTAATTGCGATAATACACTAGCATTACAATAAACACAGAAGTTTCAATGGCACAATTTTAGGTAATTATAACAATTTTCATATCTTTTTTAAGCAATAAGAATAAACTACTTCAAAAAATAAATCGTTCACTACTACGAGACGTTTCGCCGATGGCGATTACGTGCACTGTGCACACAGTGCCGGTGTGGCCAAATATTAAATCAAAATTCTACTAAAATTTCTATTCTTTGTTGTAAATTACAGAACATTTATTTGATATTAAGGGTTTTTCAGTAATACACGCGGAGGACTGTCTGACTACTTTTTGGTGGACATTCACAAATCTGATCGCGTATCAAATAAGTTGCTATAAATAATATTCAGAAATGTGTGTAATTGTAACTTATCCCCAGTCATGTCGACTTTTGAGTAGCATGAAATCACATTTTCAAAAACTAACTTAAGCACAAAACATATACTGATTAACAATAGAAGCCTAATTTTTATTAGGAGTGTGAATGCAAGAAAGTTTGTGTTACAGTATTCTATAACCTTAAAAGACAATAGCTTAAAACTGAAAACTGGTAAATTTTGTTTGTGATTTTCGCAATCTGTTTTTAGTACCTATTTATTTTACCAAAAAAGTAGAAAATTGTCGAATGTGGTCATACTTGACGACAGTCATAAATTCAAAAGTTGCCAGAATAAAATTCTCACTAACACTTTGATTTTCCGAGTAAATGTAATTTCTTTAATATAGCTTATAATTACTGCATAATTTAATAGTTTGAACAAAGTGAAATTTCATAAAATAAAAACAAACAATTATTTGAAAAAGTACCTATTAAATAGGTTGAACTTATAATGAAACACGCGTTTGCTTTCAAATCTCAAGCTTTAGTCTATGGATTATTTATAATGGCATGGCTACTTTAATGAACCATGTTGCGCGGTATTGCGTGATACATTTAATGTGTGTGTTTTAACATGGCAAAAGGTGATAAGGAATTTGAGAAACCTATAGTGAAAGATGAATTACCAAATCCAGAATGTAGGAACACCGATACCGAGGAATCAGAATCGGTACAGGAACAACAGCCTTTGGATATCGGAGAGCATTATTTAGTGCGGCGTTCCGATGAGTCATGGCACCCGGCGGAGATAATACAAACGCGGTACAATGCCGGCGAGTCCTGTTTCGAGTATTATGTCCACTATGTGGGTTACGATCGGCGCCTCGACGAATGGGTTTCCCGCCACAGGGTTATGTCCGACAGGTTTGACGTATGCGAACAATCTAATAATATAAATTCAGACCATCTTTTGACCGACAAATCGGGTCGTAAAATAACGCGCAATCAAAAACGTAAACATGACGAAATCAATCACATACAAAAAACGTATGAGGAGATGGACCCGACGACCGCGGCTTTGGAAAAGGAACATGAAGCGATCACGAAAGTCAAATATATAGATCGCATTCAAATAGGTAAATACGAAATAGACACTTGGTACTTTAGTCCGTACCCCGACGAGTATGGCAAACAATCGAAACTATGGATATGTGAATTTTGTCTTACATACATGAAGATGGAAAAAACGTTCAGGTACCATTTGGGTCAATGTCCAGCTAAACAACCACAAGGCAGTGAAATATATAGGAAAGGTACAATAGCCATTTTCGAAGCTGATGGCAAGGAACATAAAACTTACTGTCAAAATCTGTGTTTACTAGCAAAATTGTTTTTAGATCACAAAACATTATATTTTGATATAGAACAATTTTTATTTTACATACTTTGTGAAGTAGATAAATACGGAGCCCACCTAGTTGGATATTTTTCAAAGGAAAAAGATTCACCGGAGGGTAATAATGTAGCTTGCATACTTACGCTACCACCATACCAAAGACAAGGTTATGGGAAGTTTCTAATTGCATTCAGCTATGAGCTGTCGAGGTTAGAACAAGTGGTGGGTAGTCCTGAAAAACCATTATCAGACTTGGGGAAGCTTAGCTACAGGTCATACTGGTCATATGTTTTACTGGAAGTGTTAAGTGTCAGTAGAGGTACATTGAGTATAAAAGATCTAAGTCAAATGACTGGAATATCCCAAACTGATATAATAACCACCTTACAGTGTATGAATATGGTGAAGTATTGGAAAGGACAGCATGTAATTTGTGTTACACCAAAGATAGTGGCGGAACAGTTAGCAAGTCCCCATTTTAAGAAGCCTCGGCTGTGTGTAGATAGGTCTGCATTGCGCTGGTCTCCACCCAACAAACAAGGCAACTCGGCAAAAGCTAAAAAGTAGTACAGGCTCACAGGCAGGGCTTAGAGAATGTTTGTAATTTTATTTGTGAATGACTTTCTCTAGGCACAAGCCTGTTCATTTATAAAATATTGTTTTAAATATCTGTATATTGCTTTTAAACACAGTAATTAGAGTGAAGTATTATAAATGTTTGTTGACAAATAATTTGTTACAAATAACAGAACTCAGTGCATTTGTTATAAAGATAATAGTTTTAACCCCAGTAATAGATCAATTTCAAGTAGTGTTTAAGCCGCAAAATGGCATAATTAACAAGTTTATATTTCATTAAAATGTTTCATCATGAAAAAAGAATTTTCAGATAGCTTAAGACATAAATGTTTCAACACTTTTGATGATAATTAATTCATTTTGTTACACACATCATTGCATCTAATGGAAAGTTAAATTTCTTAAAAGAAGTTATTCTTTTTAGTAAACTGTTTAACATATAGTCAAACCAGGATAAGCAAGAATCTAAGAGACAGCTATATATTTCTCGCTTATAACTTCTCTCCAACCCAATATACCTTATGTAGGTGGTCTAATGAAGAATAATGCCTCGCTTATCCTGGTTTGACTGCAATTATGTCTAGGTTTTTAATATATTTTTGATTTGTACTTCTGGGAAATTCCACTTAAATGTGGCTGTAAGATCTGTGTACATGTTTAGTTCCTTTTTATACCGGTATAGTGATACTAATTTTAAGTTTTAACTTAGCTTAAGTTCAATTAATTATATATGTAAATTTCTCTTAGTATATAAGTATAGTTGTTGCGTAATTTATTATTAATCTGTCATAGATCAACTTATTGTGGGTTTCTGAGACTGAAATCTATGTTTAAAAGATTGTTTTTTCTGTTTTGTCAACGAGAATAACAGAGATGATGATATGTTTTATACAGAGATTTTGGTCTAAGAAACCAATGGTCAGTTACAACATTCAGATTAACTAGACTCAGTGTTATGAAACAATTTTAATTACATGTCTGTAACAATTGTTAATTTAGACAAAGTAACGATTTTAATGTTTGACAAGACCTAAGTAAGTAAAGGTTGCTGTTAATTTTTTAATTCTTATCGAAATTGCTAACTCCATTTATTTCTATTCATTGTCTCAATTCTATGCAGTTTTGTTTAAAGATTTTGTGTTACAGTTTAATTTAATTGCTTGACTATTTCTTTAAGCTAGAGTCAACACTTTTTTTATGTTGTACTCAAATTAATCAATAAGTGTTGAACCAGCTACACAAATTCAGTTTGTACTGAATAATCGGCCCAGTTTAAACTTATGTGTGCCAAAACTGAGAGATGGAAAGTGATAGATAAAATTTTGCCTACACACATATATTTCGACTGAACAGACTATTCAGTTAAAACCGAAGATGTGTAGCCAGATTAACACATTGCTTTAGTGACATTAAGCTGCTGTTCCCACCTTAATTGATAATAGGCATTGAGGGTAGGTTTAAATTTTTGTAATTTTCACCTACCCACATTTACGTTATAACATGATTATTTATAATCACATAGATTTATATTACAGTTAGATTTTTAGTTACAGAATATCGATTTTCTTGTAGCAGATAAACAAAAGGATGTTATATTTTTTGAACAAGTGCAAACAAATTATGGTCAATATGGCCAGTTTTAAAGGTTCATTTATAAAATTGTAGTCTGAAAGTTTCATATTTCGTATATACATATTATACATGGCTTACTAGCGTTGCTAACCAATTAAAAAATTTGTCTGCATTTGTGTCTGTCCGTAAGGCCGCGTTTGTTTCGGGTAATCTCTAGAATGGCTGGATAGATTTTGTCAGGAGGGTAATAGACGCAGAACTATCTTCTAGTTAACTCATTTTCAACTCTACTGTATTAATGATAGGAACTTGTATATTTTTAGATTGTAAGTTCTTGTAAATTTTCAGTCAAAACCAAAATAGCAAAGCTATTATGTGCCCATTTGGAACAATGTTCTGTATTTTTTTATTATTAAGTATTACTTTTTGAGCTTTGTGTATCAAATGTTAGGATGCCAAGTAGAAGTATTATTGTCGGGTAAGTATTTGCATATGTAGTAAGGGGATATAGTTTTCGCAATTCCCCAATTGATGTCTACCATGAATTCTCACTTGAGAATCGATTAAATAAATTGATATTCATTCAATTGCTTTTATTAAATTCTGTGAATTGTCAGTGTTTACTGTCTATTTGTGATAATTTATTAGTTTTAAGTGAAAAATGTAGTAGTAAGAAATAAAAAAAAATATCTGAACAATGTCTGGTTTTGTTTGAATCTTAGCCTAGATTTTAGCCCTAGAACATTTTAACAGCCAACTTCTTAATAGTAGTCTGAATATAAAATGGAACAAGAGGTAAGAGTGTTTTGACAATTATCGAAAGAAGATTTTTTTAAGTGAAATAAAACTGCCGATTCACAATTTCTATAATTCAATTTATTTTTATTTGCTAACATACACATTCTCACGTAAAACAAATGAATAGTAGGACAAACTTTGAATGCAAATAATTTTACTTGTGCGTTTTGATGTATCGAGTTATCAAAGTTCAATCGAGTCAAGAAAACAAGAGCTCAGTTTAGGGCACTGTCAAATCACTAAATTGTTTAGTACTAAAAAGTAAATAAATATTGAAAATTAAACACTGAATTACAAAAAAAAAAATACGAATAAACATACTGACGAACATACTTGAAACACTGAAGTTTTTAGTTAAGTCCACAAATTAACAGAATTACTAGTAATTATTATATTGATTTTACGATAAGGTTAATTAAGTGCCAAGGAGAAGTCCACATTAAAATACTCGCATTCAAAGTATGACATACTGAAAATCGGATCGGATACAAAAAATAAATGAGATTCTATACTTCATGTGTATAATGCAATTTTATTTTTTCAACCAAGAATTTGTACTTTCCGCTCCTTAACTAATTGTAATGGACAAAATTGCAGGCAAAAGATGCGCTGGACGAAGAAAGAAATCGCGGTTGCGAAATATCAAGGAATAGACGAATGTTACCAGCGTGGAACATTTATTTCGCTTGGCACAAGATCGGCAAAGTTCACTGAGCTGACGGCCAACCTCCATTAAATGGAGAGGCACCTTGAGAGAGAGCTCCTTATTTTCAATGCTAGTTATCAACATTAGCGTAAGTTTTCTCCGCTGAGGACAAGTACAAAAGCATTGTTATTGTTTTTTAAAAGAAAAAAAACTCGATTAAATTGTCATTATACACATGTTATAAAAAAAACTTTTTTAACTGTCAAATAAAAGGACGTAACCATAAGTACATTGATAAGTATTTTTTTAAATATTCAAAAAATGCAGTACATTCACAATTCGCAACATCAAGTATCATTAAACACAGAACGATTTAGCGTAATATTCAACACTTATTACAATATTTTTTTTTAATATTTTTTATCTGTATTTTTTTCGTCTCAGTAGAACAGAGCTGTAACATACGAGTTATCTACATCTAAATATATGGCTACTTTAAATGTATACAACACAAACTATAGCCATACTTCGAAATTCCACTGTTGTGACACATGTATAAAAACATGTCTATTTTTTAAAGAGATCGAGACTCAATTCAATACTTTGATATCTGAAATTCACAATTCAACAAAACATTTTGTAGGATATTTAAAAAATCGATTAATATCGATATTTTACACCATAGACCTAAAAGCACATCGATATTTTATCTATATGACTCTAGCCAAAAACTTTTGTCTTTTTTTAATCTTGCACACATTTATCCCGGAATATACAATATAAGCATAAATATAATTTTTACATATTTTAAGGCGTTACATATCAGTTAAAATTGTACGCGAATTTCGTTAATAATAATTAAGCTTAACGAATTTACATCAAAGCTTTTGATACATTAGGAGGCAATTACTAAAAAAAAAAAAAATTAAATTACAATTATTGACATATTATTAAGACGTTAGCTGTCAGATTGATTTTTCGAAAAAGGAAAAAAATTGACCCGCTGTTTATAAGCTTTATGGGGCCTTGCAGGTCACGCTGTATACATTAATTCGATTAAAGCGTCCGACCAGCCACAGCGAAGTGTTGAATGGAAGTATAGCTAGTCGGACACATAGTCCGACACGGCGTGATTGAAACATAGTTCGTAGTGGCAGCTAACGTGTTAAATATGTTATTTTGAGGAACATAAAATTGACTGACCTGATGTTTAGTATTAAATCGTTTGATAATTGTTAAAATTTTATTTCATGAGAGATTTTGGTAGAGTGAAACGCATTTTTTGACTCCTAATGTATCTGAAAGCTAAGAAATATAATTAATAATATATTAATACGATTATTACACATACTACTTTATCTATATGCCCTACAACACGACTGATATGAACCAATTTATCAGTTCCGATTGTACTGGTTAAACTTTAAATTTATAAAAATAAAAAGCCATTTCCTATAAAAATAATAAAAAAAACATATTTTCATAGTAATTAGAAATATAATAAAATAATTTTTCAAGTTTTTTTGATAATTTTTTTACGTTAAGTGACTAGCTGTATAAAGGTTGTTCTTTTTTTTGACAAAACTCATACAAAAAAATATTCAAATTATATTTTTAAAGGGCCATAATATTTCGTTAAAACAGTACAAACGAACAATTTAAATTACTATATAAATTTTATTGCTAACATTTTTACAAACAGTGCAAGCTATGGAAGTGAAAACGCTTACTGATTTACCAAATAAATCAATTATTTATGTTCTGGATGCATATTATATATTTTTTAAGACTGTACACCCACAAATGGGGTAAAAGATTAATATTCTTAGATCATGTTGACAAAAATTGTATCGTTGTCAAAAAAAAAAAAATACTTTTCGGTATTTTTTTTTTGCAAAAAATTCGATTCAATTATTTTTTTTATATTTTCAATTCCTATATCGCATCCAGTACATAAATGATCGATGTATTTGCATCTAATTAACACCATTTACTAGATTTTTTTAATAATAACACTGATTGAAAGCATTTGTACTAAACGTTAGACCTTATAAATATTAAATACGATTCATTTTCCTTTAACAATTGAAGCTATCAACTAATAGAAAAACAACCTACAACTAAAAATTACCAGAATTATTGACTTTACATATTAAACTACAAATGGGATTGTAACACTCTTAAAATATATTTTTGTTTAAAAAAATACTCTTGGGTTAAAGCGTTTATATAATTTTAATGAATTTTATAAATATAATACTGTATACTTCAGATCCGATATTGTTTTTTAAAACGAAAAAAAAATAATAAAAAATATTGCACTCAAGTAAAACACATTAGTTTAATTAACTTAGACAATAATTCATAATCAAGATATACGAAATATATACAATTACTACGCGAGTACGATAACATAACAATCAATCAACACATGATGACGTCATCGGACTTTTGTATTATATTATTGTACTCGAATAGTAAAAATTATAATATTTATAACTTACTTATGACAATAATATTAAAAGAAAATCTATTAACCTCTTTTCGAACGTCAATATTAAATGTCAAATTTGAAGTCTACTTTTTTAAGGTTAGAATTTATGTCAAATTATATTTTTTTTTAATATTTTTTACGTTAAACACTGCTTCTAATTATTTTATTATTATCTTACACTTGGAAATAAAATTTTACAAACAAAACAACGATCGAATGGCACAATATTTACTAAGAATATAAATAAATAATAATTGAAACAAAATATCACAATTACATCACTAAAGGGAATAAACATAGATATATAATCTATAGATGCGGTATTGATTTTGGC